CTCTGATATCCAAACTGGATCCCAACTGAGCCAGTCAGTGTATCTTGTCCACTGGCCAGGGTAATTTATATCCTGCCTAGTCAGTGTCAACGTTATGGAAATGATTTCTTGGATGAAGCTTGACACAAAAGAATTTATATTATGTCACTATATATGTTATAGTAACACAAATTCTCAAACCAGGCAAAACTGAACTATGCCTCGGTATCAGCAACCCTAACGCTTTTTCAGGGTTGTTACTCTGCTATAGTGGATTGGAATTTTCTTCTTCTCCCTTCACAAATGGGAAATTATTTCTGGGTCTTTGTCTCGCTCTCTTCTGACCAAACACTGGAGATTCTTTCTATGCATTATTCATTCACAAAAGGGAGTGATGTCGGGTGAGCTCCTCTGAGTGGTTCTGAGTCTGCAGCTCGAGTGAAAGTCCTTTGCCTCTTGCTTTGACCCAGTTGTTAACCCAGTGATTGCTTCTAGATTTTCCCAAATGGAATATAATCTATGCCCTGGTCACTTTAACTTTTTCTCTGGAGTGTGCTTCCTTTGTTTTTCCATCAACAAAGGAATCACTTGAACTATTTTTCTCCCTGATCAATCCAGAAAACACTTTCTCCAAATATCATGTGTCTAGTATTATTGTGCAACAAACTTTTATAATAATGGTACATATGTATCTTAAGAAACTTAAATTGATAGTCTTATTTTACATTTAATAGTATACTTCAAGTGCTAATGATATAATTGAGGAACACTTAACTGGACTTCATCATTTTAGTACACAACATGCCAAGAGTCAAGAAAGCCCTGAGTTACAAAGACGATGTGACGTCAAACCAGAACCATTTCCATAGTTGAATAAAGGAATAATTTGGAAAATGAACTCAAGTTTGTGGTGATTGATATAGTTAGTAATTATGCTTCTTGGAGATCTAATTTTTTTTCTTAATTATTTTTTAATGAAGGTAAAACATACATATGCTTTAAAAATCCATAGTACAGAAGGACTCATTATGAAAATTAACAGTTCTGTTTCCCACTTGTACTCACTCTGGTCCTGCCCCAAGGGAAATAATTTTCATTCTGGTTCTTCTATTGTTATCAGATTTCTCTCTAAAGGTATAGAAAGCTGCTTTATTACTTTTCCAACCAAGAATCAATCTAGGATTTCCTTGGTCTAACCAAACCAAGGTTCAGAGATAGTCTCTTCCATGTAACCATTAGGATTCCGTTCTGCTTTTTTTAAAAAAAATTTGTTTTGTTTTGTTTTGTTTTGCTAAAAGTATGCAAGAATTCTTGACTTTGACAAGGAACAGAGGTATCTCCACGATAGTATGGATGCTGTCTTTTTCAAAGGAAGTTTATCTCCAGATAATGATAAGAAAACTAGCTACAATATCTTTTGGGTGCAGGAATGCAGAAGATAGGCATATCTTGGTGATATTGTGGGTTTGATTCTAAAACACCACAATGAAATAAATCACACCAATATTTTTGGTTTCCTAATGTATATTAGTTATGTTTCTATTACACTGTATTCTGTTAAATGTGCAATAGCATTATGTCTTAAAAATCAGTATATCTACCCTAATTTGAAAACATGTTATTGCTAAAAAATGCTAATGATCATCTAAGCTTTCAGCTAGTCCTAATTGTTTGCTAATGGAGGGTCTTGTCTTAATGTTGATGGCTGTTGACCGACTGGCATGGGGGTTGCTGAAGGCTGAATGACTTTGGCGATTTCTGAAAATCAAAAAAAATGAAGTTTGCGCACTGGTTGACTGTTTATGAAAGACTGTCTGTAGCATGTGATGATGTTTGAAGCATTTTGCCCACAGTGGAACTTCTTTCAAAATTGTTCAGTTTCCATGTAGTTGTACAGTTTTGTGTGACTTTCTTAATCCCGAGTTCTAATTTGATTGCACTGTGTTCTGAGAGACTGTTATGAGTTCCATCATTTTGCATTTGCTGAGGAGTGTTTTACTTCCAATTACATGGTCAGTTTTAGAATAAGTGAGATGTGGTGCTGAAAAGAATGTATATTCTGTTAGTTTGGGGGTGGAGAGTTCTGTAGATGTCTATTAAGTCTGCTTTGTCCAGAGGTGAGTTCAAGTCCTGAATATCCTTGTTAATTTTCCGTCTTGTTGATCTGTCTAATATTGACATTGGGATGTTAAAGTCTCCCACTATTACTCTTTGGAGGTCTCTAAGTACTTGCTCTATGAATCTGGGTGCTCACCTATTGGGTGCATATATATTTAGGATTGCTCACTCTTCTTGTTGCATTGATCCCTTTATCGTTATGCTGTGTCCTTCTTTGTCTCTTTTGATCTTTGTTGGTTTAAAATCTGTTTTATCAGAAACTAGTATTGCAACCTCTGCTTTCTTTTTCTTTCCATTTGCTTGATAAATATTCCTCCATCTCTATATTTTGAGCCTACGTGTGTCTTTGTAAATGAGATGGGTCTTCTGAATACAACACATCAGTGGGTCTTGACTCTTTATCCAATTTGCCAGTATGTGTCTTTTAATTGGGACATTTAGCCCATTTACATTTAAGGTTAATATTGTTATATGTGAATTGTATCCTGTCATTATGATATTGGCTGGTTATTTTGTTCGTTAGTTGATGCAGATTCTTCATAGTGTCTATGGTCTTTACAATTTGGTATGTTCTTTCAGTGGCTGGTACAGTTTTTCCTTTCCATGTTCAGTGCTTCCTTCGGGAAGTCCTTGTCAGGGGAGCCTGGCAATGACAAAATCTTTCAGCAATTTCTTGTCTGTAAAGGATTTTATTTCTTCTTCACTTATGAAGCTTCGTTTGGCTGGGTTATGAAATTCTTGGTTGATACTTCTTTACTTCAAGAATGTTGAATATTGGCCCCCACTCTCCTCTGGTTTGTAGGGTTTCTGCAGAGAGATCTGCTGTTTGCCTGATGGGCTTCCCTTTGTGGGTGACCCAACCTTTCTCTCTGCCTGCCCTTAACATTTTTTCCTTCATTTCAACCTTGGTGAATCTGACAATTATGTGCCTTGTGGGTGCCCTTCTTAGGAGTATCTTTGTGGTGTTCTCTGTATTTCCTGAATTTGAATGTTGGCTGTCTTACTAGGTTGTAAGCATCCTGAAGAGTGTTTTCCAACTTGGCTCCATAAGGCTAGCATTTTTATGGACAATATGGTAGCCAGGGGGTTAGGAAATGGGTGTTGCTGATTGGTTGGTGGGGGGTGGTGGTGAAACCATGAAGGTGTAGAAAATGATCCTCATGCCCTCAGTCTGCCTCTGGGTGGGGCCACAGAATTAGTTGAGTCATGAGCCAGGAGTCCAGGTGGGGTCAGTCTGAAACAGCATTTCAAAGAAACCAACCTTAGCATCTGTAACGGTAATGGTATCTATAGGAGCAATTGGGAAGGTCACTAGCCACATAACTCCTGAGCAGTACGTGATTATAGAAACTACATCTACACTTTAGCAGAGCTCAGGTACGTCTCATAATCCTAACCTTGTGGCCCTTTTCTTAGTTTGTCAAAAGCGGTTTAGTTTTGAGAAGGGCTATTACCATCCTTGCCTTAAGGTTAAACTATAAACTAAATTCCTCCTGAAGTTAGCTTGGCCTACATCCAGTAATGACCAAGGACAGCTTGGAAGTCAGAAGTAAGATTGAATCAACTATGTCAGATTTCTCTCACTGTCGTAATTGCTGAGGTAGCTTCAGTCACAGCATGAGACCCTTCATGTCAGAAGCACTGCATCCTGCTTCTCTGACCTCTTTTATCTGCCTACTCATTCACCACTTCACCTTCATGCTTAACCTCTTTTCTTTCATATTAGGGGAATTTTCTTAGTCTTGGGTCCCACAAAAATGTGAAACTCAATGAAGGGCAGATGATTGATACTTGCGTGGCATCCTGAACTGCATAAAGGAAGAGGGCCTGGGGCTTCTGAAAGGGACTTCTGGAATAGGGACATGTTGTGGGAGGGCGAAGGTGGGGAAATATGTTGAATAAAGGTTTTCTTGTTATGTAAGTAAGCGTCCTTCAGGGGGAAAAAAAAACGTTGTTTAAGAGCAGCCCTTTTCCTGATATAGATAATTTTACTAACATAGATTCCTTAACTAACGTCATTTTCCTTTACAAAAGGGCAGCTTTTCACATGAGCTACTCTTGTGTCTGCAGTATCTCAAAATAACCAGCTTGAAATATGCCAAAAAAGAAAAATATTTTCGGGTGACATATTCTGGTCTCCTATCATATTTTGGGGTGATATGTCCTGAGCCTCAACAACACGTTTCTTTTTCTGACATATATCCTCAAATAGCCTTTTCATATAAGATAAGCAAAATAATTTTGGATATTTATATATACATTCCTGAGATCCATTGGTGTGAGGGTGGCAAAGCTTTTAGCAGATCTAGGGGGAAAAGAAGGCCCGATGCCTGCAGATGTGAAAGTTTGTCCAAGTATAACAAAGTTTCCTACATTTATGAGAGGGGCAATGATAACTTTTGCTATACGATGAAAAGCAAGGAGTGTTGGCTTCTATACATGTTTTTGTATGCATATTTTTCATTATCTATGCAGACAATACTTAACCAGTTCTTCAAGAAAGTAATGCAAAGGATTGGATTGTCAAATCCGAATCATAAGCATCCTCAGATATCTTGCCCCGTATCATGCTGTACTCTTAATTTCAGTTATACAGTAATTGTGAGATGCAGACAAAACAGTGGAAAACCCAGGCCTGCAAGAGCAGCTTCTCATTCTTACTTTCCCGTTAGGATACACTCTGGCCCAGACAAACAGATAAACATATAAGGTCTCTTTATGATGCTTATGGCTGCACCATTTACACACAGGGAGGTGCGTCGGTCATGACACATCCTACTTTATGCTCAGATGGTTACATGGTTATGGTTACACATAGTTTATGTGACATTTTCCAGGAAGCCATTCTCCATAAACCCACAGATTCTAGTTTTATGCTTTATTATTATTATTATTGATATGGTGTTTTGCTCTTGTCACCCAGGCTGGAGTGCAGTGGTGTGATCTCAGTTCACCCGGTTCAAGAGACTCTCATGCCTCACCCTCCCAAGTAGCAGGACTTACAGGTGTGCACCACCATACCAGATCAATTTTCTATTTTTAGCAGAGATGGGATTTGTCCATGTTGGCCAGGCTGGCCTCAAACTCCTGACCTCAAGTGATCCACCCACCTCGGTCTCCCAAAGTCCTGGGATTACAGGTGTGAGCCACCATGCCCAGCCTTAGTTTTACATTTTTATTTGATTTTACTAACAATTTTAGACACTCTAATACATCCTGCTAAAATCATTCAATTGATAAGGATTTTGCAAGCAAAGCCCACTATCTAGCTAGTAGGTTTATTATTAGCATTTTTACAATGAGATTTTACCAGGTCAGTTACATCTCTTATTTTTTCTCAGAGAGCCCTCTCTCCCTGTTAAAAGAACAACTTGTAGCCTGATGCTAGCAATTTTTTTTTTCCCGCTCAAAGAATACATTTTCTAAAAGCAGTGAGATCAAAATAAATTTCTTCCTTGGGGATATTAAAATGTATACTATTACTATGTTATGCAACAATTTAATTATAAATTTTTAGGTAGGGAAAAGACGCCAATGTTTATATCTTAAGTGAACATTAATTTATTTTCCCAGCTCTTGACTGAGGTTTAAAAGTTCGGCTTAGCTGTTGAAGTCATCACTTGCTCTGAACAAAAGCACTAGTAAACAGCAGGGGAGGCAAGAGGGTGGCTTCCTGCAGTGGCTACTAGTGGACGGGAGGTCCCACAAAGAAAGATGTTCTGTTGGCGGGATACCTAACTTTTCAAAAGCAAATTTATATAAGTGAAGCTGGAAATTTCAGCGGAATTTAATCTGGGTTCTCTCTGTAGGAGCCCCAGGGAATCTTTTGAGTGCAAACTTTATTTGGAATTGTGTATGGAATAAAGGTAGGAAAGGAAGTGTAAGAGGAAAGGGAAGGTGGAACACAAGAAAGATTTTCTGAATCTAGTTTCTAGAGGAGGGGACTGGAGCATAACACTTTGAGTAATTCTGGGAAATGGGGCAAAACACAATGTTCAGAATTACTTGACTTTAGGGCTGAGACTGCTGGACTCTAGAGAATCCCAAGGTTCATTTGTAGAGGATGGTTCTGGTGATGATTATTCAGCACTTCCGGACTAGCATGTCTGAGAACAGCAAGGCTTTCAGCAGTTATCACACAAAAAAGAACCCACAGATACAGCTATACAGAAAACTGGTTGGCCATAGTTCCCCAAATATTCCAAGGGACGCAGGCAAGGCAATGTTAACCTCAGGAACAACTGGGGATGAGTGGAAGAGATATAGTGCATGGAAAGCATTCACCTGCCTGTGTACAAAACTAAATAGAAAGGACATCAGAGTTGGCAGCTCAGAAAGAGTTAAAGGAAGGAGATATATATATATATATACATGCTTACTCTGTGTGTGTGTGTCTGTGTGTGTGGGGAGGTGGGATTGTTTAGATATCTTACTTAAGGCTGGAGTTCTTTAATTAAACTTGCATTTGTTGGATTTTTATTTCTAAGTCAGTGAACTAAGAAGAAGAAAAAAAAAAAGACAATGATTGATGGATGTATTCTCACCAAACATGGTTCTAAAAACTTAGAATAACTTCCAAATAAAGGTGGCTCAGTGAGTAATGAAAGTGTAGTAATAATCCCTATTGCACATTCTGTCATAAATGTGTACTATTTCAAGAGAAAAACTAAAAGCAAACCCCTGAACTCCTGTATTTTAAGGCAATTTTACAGGGGGGGAAAAATAATCAATATCAGATAGGTTTCTTCTAGATTAGGTTTTTCTAACACTAAAACTGAAAATGAATAGATTTCAAGTAAGCAAAGGATTTTTGAATAAATCACTTCAACTAAGATTTGCATAAATTCTGGATGAAGTAGATTTTATGCTTATATTCTTCAGTAAGGATTTATATTTCTACAAATTTGGTGGTGCGGTGAAACCAGCTCTATACACACAATGCACACTGAAAAGACGGAAAACTTTTGACCTCATAAAAACTGAGAAATCAAAGTAGTCTTTGGCTTTTTTTTTCTGTTGTTGGTTGAAAGCCTATCTTTTACAAAAATGTTTATCTATAGTAATATTACAATGCTTGAACATAAACAATATACACAGCATAATAAACAAAAGTTTATCTGAGTGTCTGCTTTTGTATGATGATGCATGGTAAATTGTATTTCCAGATACTAAATCATAGATCGAAATCTGTCATTTGAAGATGCTTATTATAGCCAATCTGTTCCACATTGGAAATTTGACCTGTTCCACATTTCATATTCCTAGTCAACAAGGTTACTCTTCTGTAGACAAAAAAGTATACATTGACGTAGCAGCATAGTATCTGAATCAGATAACACTAAACAATATAATAATTTATGTATTAGCAAAAATAAAGAAAATAAAGCAGCTAAAATCATGTTCAAAGAACTCCAAGGAAATGAAAAGTGAGGTGTTGACCAAAGCTTTTAGGGCTAATGAGAATGAGGCATCAAGTGGGAAACCCGTCCAGTTCCACCTTTTTGAACGTTTCCTGTCGTGGCCAGGATAATTAGGTAGGGATCAGAAGAACAGAGTGAGACAGGGAAATCCCACTTTACATGACATTGGGCAAATTACTTAGCTCTATATGCCTCAGTTTTCACATTGATAGACTGAGGATATTTATATATCTTTACTATGAAACCATTTACAGAAATAAATGAGCTAACATATGCCAAGTTCTTTAAATTGTGTACTCTTCAAGTACAAGCTAAGTAATAAATGTTTGTTATTATTAAGAGGAAAATTCTGTGAGTAATTCTATTACACTAAGTAAATTTACCTTTGGTTTGCCAATCATTTCCTTCATTTTCCAGGTAACTCTTCAAAATGAATTCTATTTTCAAACTTTAAAACCAAAACAACAACAAAACTCCATCTCACCTCTTCTCACCTTCTTTAGTGCTTACCACAGTGTTAACATTACAAAAGCACTGTGAGAATTTCCTGTATTGTGGTTCCTGGAACACGTTAGAAGCTTGTGATTTTACTGCTTCTTATTCATACTATAATACATGGCTCATCAATAGATGATTCAAAAACATCATTTAAATACACAATTTTTCATTCTTTTTTTTTTTTTTGCCAAATTCCTTCATACTCAACTTTCAGAGTCTTTCAACTGCAGTTCAGCTCCATCAATTCAACACTGTTCTTTCTAAACAAGTACACATCGTGCCTTCTCTACATCGCTCTTGGAACATAACTTCTCATGGCAGGTATGTGTGATTTCAATCGCCAAATTAAAAATAACCAGAAAAGCTATTTCTTGGGTTGGCTAATTTTGGGGCAGTGCTTTAAGAGAAAAGGACATGATGAACAGTGGATATTTTTAGGCTTTTCATGCATTAGCACTTTCCGCATTCATTTTACTTTCCTGATTCTTCATTGTTTAACTTAGAAATGATTCCATGAAGCTTTTATAGCAGGTTGAAAGAGTGGCTTCTGGCAGGGCTACCTCTAAATTCTGAACAAGAATTGAACTTTAACCTGGTTAAATTGCGAGCAACAGAATTCTAGTACATAGAAATTCTAGACATAGAAAGTGCCAAATATTAATGACGCAATGCTTAAAAGTTTTAAATTTACTATTTATGTTGTGACATCCAAAAATTACACAAATGAGCAGTTTGACACATTGTACTGTTGTTAATGATAACATCATTATTTGAGAGTGTGGCAGTGTTAACACAGAATCTCCTAATGTTGAAGTGTTTTAGGTGAAAAGTCTAGAAACAAGCCATTTTGAGTGTGAACAAATGTAATGTTCTTGGGGGAAAAAGATTGTTTGTGTATCATAATTCAATGCACTGTGAAATGAACCCAGGCCTCCACGGTATCACCCATCTACTGATTGTAGAAGGAGTTATCACACAAAGTCCAGGATGTTCCTGTGTCTTCTTTTTCCTGTAATATCTCTATGAAGCCATGAGCAGCTAGACGTTTATCAGAGCAGAACTGCATTGAGAGGACGGGAGGACACACTCTCAATTAGTATTATTGTGACAATGGTAGACTATGTTAAATGAAAGATTCCTGAACTAGACACACTTTCATTTGATTTCCGACTTGCATACTTACTTGCTTTGATACCTTGAGAAAATAACATTATTATTGGACCTTATGCTTTCTCATCTACCTAATGAGAATCATACTATCTATCTTACGATTTTGTTGAAAGAATAAAAATAAATGGCTAATATGTAAGTCCATAAAACACAACCTGGTACCTCTTAATATCGTCTTCCTCCAGATCTTTAAGCTTCTCTGTCAGTTTTAAACATACATGGTAAATTCACTTTACTGAGACAGAGCTGGTAGAGAAGAAAATGTTTGAATGATCTCCCCGAAGAATAAGATACATCACATAAAAATGTTGGTATTGGGCGAAGTCCTGATTGGAAAGTCTTCAGTTTTTCAGTGTTTTATTGGCAAGCTGACTCTGTTATCAAATTAAAGAATGTTTTGGATTCTTTCTCACCAGTTTCTGCTTTTAAAACGCAGCTCCTGTGTTTTCTCTTTAAGTCATTACCCTGTCTGTCGTTCTTGCAGTGTTTAAGGCCACTTTCTGGAGGCTGATTTCTGGGACCTTGGGTATAATATGTCTTTCGTTGATGGCTACGCTGGGAATTTTGTTAAAAAATTGTAAGTTCTTCTAAGCAAGTCTCCATAAAAATCAAAACCATGATGACATCATTTAATAATAAAGGCTTCATCTTACTAATGTTAATATGTTATTATTTCAGAAACCCATATCTAATTAAACAAATTTCTAATCATTTCTTACAGCTTTTACTAAACTGAGTACTGAGTCAGCATTTACTCCGGGACCCAACATAGAACTCCAGAAAGGTAGGTCGATTTTTTTGGAAAACTTAGCATTGGTAAAGGATGAAGTAAGCAGTTTCTTGTTTCTCACACAGAGAAGCATGATAGACTGTTACACTTAGTGATAGAAATTTGCCTGCCAGTGTAGGATAGTCTCATTTTACTGTTCTCTAATGTAAACAGGATTAAATTACATTGAATGTGCATCATTTATACATTTAACTAATTAGGAAAATGGTATCTGAAATGAAAAATATATGAGTGTTCATCATTAGGTAACAAAAAATAAACCACAGGAAATATTACAGTTAATCCTCATTACCTGCCTGAATTTGCTTATAACCTATACTTTTGCATCTCATTAATTTTCCCTTTTGATTCTTAAATGACGCAGCATATAGTGCACAGATTTCTAAACCTTGCTTATCCAATGAAAGCCAGCTCAAAGTCCAATTTTCTCTTTCTTTTATTTTTAAGAGACGGAGTTTTGCTCTTATCTCCCAGGTTGGAGTGCAGTAGCACGATCTCGGCTCACCTCCTCCTCCGGGGTTCAAGAGATTCTCCGCCTCAGCCTCCCGTGTAGGTGGAACTACAAGCACCCACCACCATGCCTGGCTAATTTTTGTATTTTTAGTAGAGAGAGGGTTTCGCCATGTTGGCCATGCTGGTCTTAAACTCCTGACCTTAGGTGATCCACCCGCCCTGGCCTCCCAAAGTGCTGGGACTACAGGCATGAGACACTCTGACCGGCAGAGCCACAGCACCCAGTCCAGATTTTCTAAATATATTTTTTCCAAATGCACCCCAACTTGTCTCACCATTGTCTGTGATTATATAGTGCTTCATTTACAGTGTAACATCTTGGCCGGGCACAGTGGCTCATGCCTGTAATCCGAGCACTTTGGAAGGCTGGAGGTAGGCATATTACTTGAGGTCAGAAGTTTGAGACCAGCCTGGCCAACATAGAGAAACCTCATCTCTACTAAAAATACAAAAATTAGCCAGGCATGGTGGCGCACACCTGTAGTCTCTGTTACTTAGGAAGCTGAGGCATGGAGAGTTGCTTGAACCTGGAAGGCAGAGGTTGCAGTGAGCTGAGATGGTGCCACTGCACTCCAGCCTGGGCAACACAGCAAGACTCTGTCTCAAAAATAAATAAATAAATAAATGGTGCAACATCTTCAGCACCACTTACACAGCAAAGATTTGAGTGCCCATGCTATGTCATGCTTTTTATTACTGTGGATAAAAAATGTTGAAAACACTATTATTGATAAACTATATAATTAAGACTCAAGATAATTGATTCATTTATATACCCTTTCAAATATATCAAAATTCTCCAAATGTACCCAAATCCTACCCCACCACCTTTTTTTTTTTTTTTTTTTTTTTTTTTTTTTTTTTTTTTGAGAGAGAGAGTTTCACTCTTGTTACCCAGGCTGGAGTGCAGTGGTGCAATCTCAGGTCACCACAACCTCCACCTCCTGGGTTCCAGTGATTCTCCTACCTCAGCCTCCCGAGTAGCTAGGATTACAGACATGTGCCACCACACTCAGCTGACTTTTTTTTTTTTTTTTTTTTTTGTATTTTTAGTAGGGACAGGGTTTCTCCATGTTGATCAGGCTGGTCTTGAACTCCCAACCTCAGGTGATCTGCCCACCTCAGCTTCCCAAAGTTCTGGAATTACAGGTGTGAGCCACCACTCCTGACCAGTGCCATATTCTTTTCTGACTCAGAAAACATGCTGAAATGTTTTCCTCCTTTCAATCTCTTTCATCTAGTTAACTTCTATGTATGCTACAGTACTTAGTTTTGAGTTACTTCCTCAAAAAAGTTCTTCTAACTGCCCCTCATCTTACACTCTGCTACATGCTGTTTTAAAATACTTAATTGTTTTTGTGTACTTACCTAAATCATCCTTAAGTATCATTAATACATTATTGAAAATGATATAATTCCGGTTCTATCTCTAGAATATAATCTCCATGTGGAAAAGACATCATGTTCATTTCGAATTAGCTCACCTTTATAGCCCCTGAACTGTGGTGTATACAGTAGATTCTGAAAGAATGCTAAAAGAATAAACAGCAAATAAATTTTGAATAATGAAATGGCATTGAAGAAAATGTCATCTCCTATGTCATTAGTTATGTTTTATCTTTTCTGTCAGACTCTGACTGCTGTTCTTGCCAGGAAAAATGGATTGGTTATCGATGCAGCTGTTACTTCATTTCCAGTGAATCTAAAACTTGGAATGAAAGTAGACATCTCTGTGCTTCTCAGAAATCCAGTCTTCTTCAGCTTCAAAGCAGAGATGAACTGGCATGTACTGTCTGATTTTCTACATTTTCTTTGATCTAGAAAAATATACTATCTAAACAAGTTAAATAAGTAATTAATCAGAATGGATGATTATATTGGAATTGAGTTATTGATTCTGTGTACCTTAAAATAGTCATTGTAAAATCTATATTAAATTCCTTGATGATTTATATCATAGAAATACAAATCAAGATAGGTGCCAAATAAAGTGAAAGAAACTTTTCAGGAAGAATTCAAAGTATATTTACCCATTTTAGATAATAGATCATTATATTTACCCACTTTATTTAAAGAACCAACTAAATGTGATTTTTAGCTCTTTTAATTAAATTTCTTTTTAAAAATTAATTTTATAGTTTTTGTCATCTTTCTGGCATATAAGCTAGTGTGGAAAATACGGTAAGAAAAATTACTAAATTTTTTTCTTTTTTTGAGACAGAGTTTCACTCTTGCCCAGGCTGGAGTACACTGGCACGATCTCAGCTCACTACAACTTCTGCCTCCTGGGTTCAAGTAATTCTATTGTCTCAGCCTCCTGAGTAGCTGGTATGACAGGAGCATGCCACAAGTATTTTCAGTAGAGACAGGGTTTTGCCATGTTAGCCAGGCTGGTCTTGAACTGATCTTGGGTGATCCACCCGCCTCTGCCTCCCAAAGTGCTAGGATTACAGGTATGAGCTAGCATGCATGGCCCTAATTGCCCAATCCATAAGGAAAAGTGAAAAAATTCTCCGGATGCATGCAGCACCTGTGCTGATTATTGGTTGAGTAGATTATACTAACGAGATTCATCCTTCAGAATATCATTATTTTGGAATCAAATTTAAATTGATCCCCTGCAAAGAAAGTGTTACATGAAGACTCTATCTCCTTTTGTAAGGTTTTTAATTCTTCAAGAAGTGAGATTTTGTGGTATTTTTTATCCATATACGAATGGGCCAGATAAATAAGAACTTTGAGTTATGTGACTATACCTTTTGTGTGATGGACAGGCTGAATCTTATTCTGAACACTGACTTTCCTTCAAAAATCTGTTATTCCCAGAGTAGATTAAAATTAGATTAATGTGATTGTTTTTCACTTGAAGCAGGATTTTATGACCTCCAGTCAACAATTTTACTGGATTGGACTCTCTTATAGTGAAGAACAAAACGCCTGGTTATGGGAGAGTGGCTCTGGACTGTCCCGGGATCTGTAAGTTTCTGCCAGTCATTACCTTCTTTGCTCTTTATGAATTTGTTCTTAGATGTGACTAGCAAAGGTCAGATCCAGGAGCACTGTAGCTGAAATAACCTTGTCTAGGGCATGAAAATACAGAAAAAGGAAAAGGTACAACAAAATAACAATTTTAGATCTGCCTAGAACATCCAAGTTTATGTTCAAATGACATAAAGTTAGCATATTTGTGGCTATAAAAGAACTTTAACATTGTGCTTTTTATTTATTTATTTATTTTATTATTATTATTATTATTTTGCCTTAGTACAAGCACTTGGCAGTTTATGTGCATGTACAGATACTCATATACACAGAGGCAGTCCAGATAAAACAGTCTATCCATTATTTTATTGATTCTGGTAGACTCAATATTCTCAGCATCCCCTTATGTTTTGTATACTGTAGATTTATTTTCTGTATATGTGTACTTTTTGAATCTCATTTTCATTTATAAACATGAGATTTGCAACATCACACAGGGACAAAGTTTATGCTCTGGCTTGTTTCTGTTTCCCTAGACTAGATTGGATAATACATCTTAAACAAAATAGAAGTAAAGCATATCACACATTTAAACCATCAATGACAACAAAAAAACAACAAGGAAAAATCCCTGGCCTCAGTGATATTGATCAGTGAGAAAACAACTGGGTATTTTGTAGCATTATACTAGAGAATCATGAAAATTGTGGTTACTGAAAAAGAAAAAAGGACTCGATATGTTAATATCTCACTCAAATGCTTTTAAAGGTTACATCATTTAATTGAAAACTTTCTTGATCATTCTCACTTCCTTTTTCTGTATGTTAACATTTTCTTCTTCATTGCAGATTTCCATTGTTTGAAACTTCTAATCGAAAGAACTGCATAGCATATAATCCAAGGGGAAATGTTGTAGATGAGCCCTGTGAAATTAAAAATCGTTTTATCTGTAAGCAACAGGTCATTTAAATGTTTCTTGGGGCAGAGAAGGTGGAGCGTAGAGACCCAACATTACTAATAATGATACATTTACCTGTTACATTATTGCTTATTGTCTTCTTCTGAATCTATAAATGTTTCAAATAGTGTCTTATACAATTGTCATATATGTGAAATGATGTGTTTTATAATTGATGAAATTTGTACATCTACATTTGAAATTATAAAGTTAATATAAAGAATTTTGTATTTTGATTTGATGTATGTATTTAATGTTAAATTTGATGTAGTTTTATTGCAGATTTATGTAACTTTATTTACATTCTTGCTAATTCTCAGCAGAAATTTAAATAAAATTTAATTCACATCAAATAAAATTTACAAAATAAAATTTAACTCACACTGCCTAGGCTGGAGTGCAGTGGTAAGATCATAGCTCATTACAACCTCAACTCCTGGGCTCAAGTGATCCTCCTGACTCAGCCTGCCAAGTAGATAGGTCTACAGGCACCATGCCACTATGCCCAGCTGATTTTTATTTTTTAATTTTTTGTGAAGACAAGATCTCGCTACGTTGCCCAGGCTGGTCTTGAACTCATGGCCTCGAGTGATTCTCCCACCTTGGTCTCCCAAAGTGCTGAGATTACAGGTGTGAAACACCATCCCTGGCCCTCTTCACATTCTTGTATGAAGACTGATTCAGGAAAAATGCACTTCAGTTAACTTACAAAAGATATAGGATGAAATATAATATCTTTCATATGTTTAATGTGAACTAAGCTTATTATGAATTGCACGTTCTGGAGATTTCTAATATTCTGGTTTTGTTGTCCATGTGATTACAAAATTATTTATTTTTTAATTAAAAATTTTAAAATAATATAAGCAAGCATGTAATGGTTATCAATATTTTTTTGTGCTAATTATTTTATCTCCTTGACCTCCTCTCATGAGGCATTGTCTTCTGTTTTAACACTTAGAGTGTTTTTCTCTTTTATGAATCAAAGCTGATCTATTTTCATCATTGTTGTGATGAAAAAAATCATTTTGATTGACTTAAGATGGAAGAATTTGGACTGGGTGTGGTGGCTTATGCCTGTAATCCCAGCACTTTGGGAGGCCAAGGTGGGCAGATCACTTGAGGTCAGGAGTTCGAGACCAGCCTGGCCAACATGGTGAAACCCGTCTCTACTAAAAATATAAAAATTAGCTGGGCATCATAGTGCACACCTATAATCCCAGCTATTTGGGAAGCTGAGGTGAGAGGATCGCTTGAACCCGGGAGCTGGAGGTTGCAGTGAGCCAAGAGTGCACCACTGCACTCTAGCCTGGGGCATAGAGCAAGACTACTCAAAAAAAAAAAAAAGGGGGGGGGTGGGGTGGGGTGGGGGGGAAGGATTTGGAACCCGAATTGCATCTGAAAAACGGCCTCATCTTTGTCATTTAGTGTAATCTAAACACGGAGTAACATCCCATCATAATCCCAAATCCTACTCAGACTAAAGGGGAAGGGATGGTGCAGGTGTACACTAGGCCACTGGGGTACCAATGAGAAACCACTTTAGAGTTATGTCTACTGTACCCACATAATCCTAAAAATATGTTACAACTGCCACTTCATAGTTTATGTCATTTTATTTATTTATTTATTTTTTTGAGACAGGTTTTCATTCTCGTTGCCCAGGCTATAGTGCAATGATACAATTATGGTTCACTGCAGATTCGACTTCCTGGGCTCCGGTGATCCTCCCACCTCAGCCTTCTGAGTACTTTGGGACTAAGGTGCTAGCCACCATGCCCAGCAAATTTTTAATATCATTTGTAGAGATGGGGTTTCTCAATGTTTCCCAAGCTGGTCTTCAACTCCTGGGCTCAAGAGCTCTGCCTGCCTTGGCTTCCCAAAGTGCTGGAATTACAGACATAAGCCACTATACCCAGCCAGTTTATATAATTTAAACACTGCCTTTTGGTTCCTTGATTGACATATGCTAGGACAAGTAATTATTTTCTGGCTTCCCCAGTATATTAATTCTTGGTTCCTCCATTAGTTGTGAAGTCCCAATTATGGAAAAGGAGTCAGGCTGGTGGGAGCAGAGGAAAGCAGAAAAAGAAAGCAGATAAGCTATTAGTCTGCCTTTCTTCATGGTCCAGGACGTGGGCCATGTGCTTAAGTATCACCAGACACCTGTAAGTTAACTCACTGCCACCTTGGTGTTATCAGTACTGTCCAAAGCCTTCTGCAGCATACAGCATAAACGCTATTCCATAACATCCCCAGCAAGCCTTTGTTTCTTTGTGGTCAGCTTTTCTTCTGCTGGTGCTGCCTGTTGCCTCCCTGGAAACGTATTTTCCTACTTTTCTTTAACGAATCTGCCTTTCTTACCTACAACTGGCTTGGTAAATTCTTTTACCTCAAAGCCACTGGCTCAGATAGCTGTTGCTCATCCACAATATTAGTGTATTAGTCTGTTCTCATGCTGCTAATAAAAATAAACCCGAGACTAGGTAATTTATAAAATAAAGAGGTGTAATTGACTCACGGTTCTTCAGGGCTGGAGAAGCCTCAAGAAACTTACGATAATGGCAGAAGGGAAAGAAAACACTTCCTTCTTCACATGGCAACATTAAGGAGAAGCTCTGAGCAAAAGGGAAAAAAGCCCCTTATTAAATAATCAGATCTAGTGAGAACTCACTATCACTCCCACTACCACTCCTCACTCCCATGAAATGTGAGGATTATGGGCACTACAATTCAAGATGAGATTTGGGTGGGGACACAGCCAAGCCACATCAGTTAGTGACGTCTAATTCTTATAATGCATGCATAAGAAAGTGAGTTATTTTATAGCTGAACTGGGACAGCTCTTTGTTTATTTCCAGAGATGCCTTGGTGTCTATTTTTGACTCTTGGCAGTGATATGGTAAGAACTCACTATAAACCATTAGTTAGCTAATTAGCCTAACTAACTATAAACCATTAGTTAGGCTAATTAGCTAACTAATGGTTTATAGTGAGTTCTTTAAAGTTCAAAATCCCTCAGTGGAATCTAGGGTCAGTTTGTTTATTGATAGCTTCCACCTGAGATAATGACAAATCTTGTGTCTGCTATGTGACTAGATGGACATACAAGAATGCAGGAAATTTCAGTTTCAGTTCTTCTGAAACCAAGTTTCATCACACAAATATCAGGTTTCATTCAGAGACGAAGGGTATCTTTGTACAAATAAGAACACCGAAGAACTTGTTTCTAGATGTCTCTTGGTCCCACACTGCTGATTTGAATTGTCTTTCTCCTGCTGTAACATATTCCTTTCCCTTATTAAAAGCTTTTCATGAGTATGTTCATTGGAACCTTATAATTCCTTTCAGTTATCTATACCTGGAAATGTTAGTTCTATAATTTTTGACTTTCTGAAATTTGTCTCTTTATATCCTAGCCAGTGGTTGAAAAACTTTTTTCAAAGAACTATATAGCATTTATTTTCAACTTTGTGAGCCATTCTCTGTTGAAACTACTCAACCTTGCCATGATAGTCTAAAGAAGATATAAATAATACAAAAATGAATGGTCTGACTGTGTTACAAAAGAATTTTATTGACAAAACATATGATGAGACAAATTTGGTACACAGGCCAGTTTGCCAACACATGCCCAAGTATGTAAGGTGAAACTCTAGGGCCATTATTCTACTCCCTGCTTTAATCTTTTCCAGGTCACTTCTTACTAGTTGTAAATGTACTTACACATTTTGCTATGTGTAAACAGTTATGGTTCTTACTATCAATCTGTGTTCATTTTAAAGGGTAAAAATCTACAAATTATGTGCTATAGCCAAGTTGCAAGATGTCCATCAATGATTTCCACCTGTGGTGTACATACCTTTGTGGAATTTCCTTCCACACTGGGTTGACCTGTGTGACCAGTGAAATAAAGTAGAAATGCCTGGGCATGGTGGCTCACGCCTGTAATCCCAACACTTTGGGAGGCTGAGGTGGGCAGATCACCTGAGATCAGGAGTTTTGAGACCAGCCTGACCAACATGGTGAAACCCCATCTCTACTAAAAATACCAACATACAAAAATTAGGTGATTAGCTCCTATAATCCCAGCTACTCGGAGGCTGAGGCAGGAGAATGCTTGAAACTAGAAGGCGGATGTTGCAGTGCACCAAGATTGCACCACTGCACTTTAGTCAGTGTGAAACGCCACAGAGTAAAACTCCATCTCAAACAAACAAACAAAAAAAAAAATAAGAAAGAAAGAAAGTGGAAATTATGATATGTCATTTTTGAGAATAGGTCATCAAAGATATTATGACTTCTTTCTTTTTCCTCTCTCCCAGATCACTTGATTTGCGGAAAACCAGTTACAATGTCATGAGCAGCCTTGTTGAAAGGACCATGTGGCAAAGAACTGAAAACTCTATGCACAGCCCACAAGGAACTGAAGTCTATTTCCAACAGCTATGTTATATGCCTTCTTTGCATGTATGGGCTCCAGTCCTAGTCAAGCCTTCAGGTTGATTACAGCCCCCAGCCAACATCCTGACGGCAACCTTATGTGAGACTCTGAGCTAGGTCCATCCTGCTATGCTTTTGAGGATTCCTTATTCTGAGAAACTGTGTGAAACAGTAAACTGTTTATTCTTTTAAGTTGCTAAGTATCAATGTTTCACATAGCAATAGATAACCAGTACATATTTTGGTACCTAGAATGAAGTTACTGTTATGAAGAAAAAGAAAACACTAAAATTTGGGGGTGCTTGAAAACAGGCAGTGGATGGAGGCTACAAGGACAGGAAAGACTGAAACCTTTGATTAAGGGCTTATAGTAGGGAAGCAAAAACATATTAGAAACTGGAGAAAGTAAAAAATTTTCGATTTCGTGCCAGGAAGTTTAGCAACACTTGTCTGTAGTATTGTGGAAGGTAGAAAATGTACGTAATGAATTAAGAGAATGCTCTAAAGTTATTTCCAGTCAGAGTGTTGAAGATACTGTCTGCTTTCTTCCTACTGCTTATATTACAATGCTATAGAAGACACATAACCTATTGCAAGGGCTTTTAAACAAAAGAAGTCAGAACTTGATAGTTTTGAGATTCCTGGACTCTCAAATTTTAACATGTCAAAAATGCTAAAATTGAGAAATAGATTCTGAGCAAGTGTCTAATCTAGAGTGCTCTCAGGAAAGCATGATTCTAAAGAAGAAGGTGTGGGCGTGACTGAAATTTCCTGTAAATATCATAGAAAGAATATAAGTAATGCCTCAATTCAGTCTGACGAAGGATCTATAAAGGTCAAATAAAAGGGCTTCTAGAAAGCCCTAGGACATTGTCCCTCAGCTGTCTCAGCAGAAGCTCCAGGTAGAGAGGAGACTGAAGGGATTTATGTATGTGGTTTTTACAAATAGAGTTCATAGAAAACCCCAAAACGTTTTTGAGATGACTATGTCAGTAGAAAAATGACAGTGAAGTGTTACCTTGTATTAAAAACTAGGAACGATTCAAAGGACAGAACTAAGAACCTATAAGGTGGATCCAAGAGTTATAAAGAGTCATTTTGTAACAGAAACAGGACTGAGTCCTAATCAAGTAAGTCCCAACATTTGCTATGCTAGAGTTTAAATTACTATGCATCAGTGACTCCTTTGTAATTCTCATGTCCCTCCCTCTTTTGAACAAGGATGTCTATAGAGTTTATTGTTTTGGATGCTGAGTGTTTAAGGGAAGAAAATCTCTAGTCTTGTTAACTTCATAAGCATTCAGATGGAGAAAAATTATACTCAAGAAGCTAAAGCGAAGGAACCACACCTAGTGAGTCTCACTCATGCTTAGGTGTGACAAATTTCTGGACTTTGAGCTGACATTGTAACAGGATGAGATCTGGGAGTTGGTGTGGATTTTGTATGTGGGAAGGATATAAATAATTTGGCGCCAAAGTTTAGACTCTTGTATACAGCTTCCTATATGCTCCCAATGATCCCTGTTTCTTGGAATTTAACACTTTTGATGTAATCAATTACATGGTATAAGGGTTGATCAGTACAACAAAGAGAATAAGGCAGAAGTTATAGCATGTCACTTTTGAGGCTAGATTATGAAAGACAGTATGTCTTCGGCTTTGCCCTTTCTCATGTCATTTGGTTTGGTGGAAGCCAGCTACCTTGTCACGAGCAACTCTTTGAAGCATTCCACGTGGCAAAGAACTGAGGCCTCCTATAAACAGTTAGCAAGGAACTGCAGCCTCTTGCAGACAGCCATGTGCATGAGCCTCCTTGGATAAACTCTTCAGCCAGTGTCAAGCATTAGGTAACTACAACCCAACCAACATTTCAACTGCAATCTGATGAGA